ATTCCTGCTCATTTCCTCTTTCCCCCAGTTGCTTTGCCACTCAGCATTAGATGATCTGTGCTCCAGGACTACCTTTCTCTAGTGAGATGGTCAGTCTCTACTGTTCTGTGGACTCTGCCCACTGCTCTGGGACAATAAGAAATCCAGCACTGCTAGCATGGAGCAAATTCACTTTACATTTAAAAACCATTTGCTGTACTGTTTCTAGTGTCTCCTGTCTGCAAGAAAGTAAGAGATATTTCCATGCCCCCTAATACAAATTCAGGATATAAGTAACAAGATTTGTAAATCTTATCTAGGCCCTGCTTATGTGTAGATTTGCATGGAAATAATTTTAAGCTTTTAAATTATACCTCCTTCCAGTGCAACAGTGACCCTTACTTTGGAATAAATATTTTCTAATGACAAATACTTAATAAGTGATTTCTGGTTTAGTTTTTCTGGAAATGGTTTACTTTATTTTTATCCAGCTTGAATAAAATTCAAGGTAAGACTCTGCACACAAGACTTATCCAAAATTATATGTACTGAAATTTAATTGTGTTATTTCCATGTACATTCATGTGTAAACCGATGTCTACTTCCCGGGGTTCCTCACTAGTTGATTACATGGGTTAACCATCACAAGTAAAGTCTAAATTGCCTCCATCATAAAAACCAAAATTAATTCCTTTTGTAATCCTTGAGGTTGTATTAGAAAATTTGTTAAAAATATCATTTTATTATTTCTTTTGGAATCTTGTCTGTGAATAGTTTTTTTGTGCAGCAGTTCAGAAAAATGTGTCAAAAATTGTAAGGAAAAAAGTCACAGCTGGTATGAAGATTTGTGGGAAAAAGATGTTATGATGACAGTGAAATCGTATCTGTTTTTCATCAAGGAATATTTACAAATCTCTGTATCTTGATTAGGTGCTGCTTTTTCTCTGACATGTCAGGCCCGCCTGGGGATTAGGAAACAGCCTTTGGCTCATGTCACGTGGGATGTGGACAACATACCAGTGAAAGAGTTAGATACATCAAGATTTCATGAAAAAACCCATTTGTAAGTACACATAACACTTCTGTCTTCTGTGTGAACTGTGCCTCAACATTAAAGCCAATGGTATCAACACTTTCTCTACTAGTTTTGAAGGACCTGCACATGAATATTACAGAGAGACTACTTTGCATATTACTGAAATAAAAAAGGAGGATCTGCAGGCAAATTTCACGTGTGTGGCACTGAATGAAATGAAGAACACAAAGGCCACGGTGATGTTGAAGCTCAAAGCACCATGTGAGGGTTGGATTTTTTCATTTTGTTTTCTTACACTTCGCACTCAGTTTGAAATACTTTGATGATTTTATTTTATTATGTGTTTTTGCTAATAAGAAAGCTGCTGCTCATAAGAAGAAAAACCAGCTTGCTCCCTCCCAGTGGCAAAATTCTATGACTTTGTTAGCTCATGAAAATCCATGGAGTAAATTCTGCTGGGGGGACACATTGGTCAAATGGTATCAGTGAGAGGTTAAATATACAGAGCATCACTCTATCAGGCCTGTGATAAGAATATCCCATTTCCAGGGTATTTCTGCTTGGTGACAAATTCCCCTTGCTTTGAAAGCAGGCAGTGCCCTTATATTTGAAGCACAGTGGTACAGGGCAGTCTGCTCTACAAAATAGGGTGTAGTGGAGCCTCCGAGATAGGAGCTGGGCAAGGAACTGACCTCTCCTTTGGCCATCAGTACTGCAATGCGCTGTGAAGAGCAGACATTCATCCCCTTTTGAGAATCAAAGTGCAGTTTCTAGGGTAGAACCACAGCAGAAAATAATCAAACTTTAAAATCAAGCATTTCAGGTGCAATGTGCCAGTTTTCTTGCCTTGACTTTCCTCCCATTCCACACCCACATTTTTTGGCTGAGTGCTATGTGGCATGACTAACTTCTGTGATGTCTGGCTTTATCCTCTCTCCTTCTGAGCACCACTGTGTACACTATGTATGTGCCACACAGAGCTTGGAGTAGCACTTCAAAGGCTTTCCCTTGGTTTGGTTTTTAAAGTCATGGTTCTAATAATTTCAGCCACAGGGAAGTCCAAGGCTACTGGTGGGGACTGTCATGGTCTTTAGCTCCTAGGGATTTTTTTTTTTCTTATTAGAGATAGCTAGGTCCCTAAGCACTGTTTCCAGCTCCACTGAGTTAGATTTTATGGCAGAAAATGCTATTGTGTCTATGAAGACACAACAAGAAGCTGCTGTCAATTGTTTCCTGTCTTATCCATTTGTTATACTGAACCACCAAAGACCTTGAGAAGAAATCCCAAGGCCTTTAACTGGGATTAGTTTTCTATAAAAGGATGGTGGGAAGAGAAAAATCAAGTGTATTGCAATCACAGGATGTGCATAGCTCCATGTCCTGCATTGAAGGAACAGTATTGACTGTTCATAACTTCCTATGGGATCATGGCTTCAAAGTATAGACATATTTCCTTGCCATAGCCCAGACTAGAAGGAATGCAGGTGGATTGTAACGGAGGATGGAACATCATCCAGCAGGACAGCACCAATTACCCCCAGAGGAAGGTGGCAGGTAATGTTTTGGTTAGATGTTACTAAGTAAGTGTGAGCATAGCATCACTCAGGGTGATATAAACTCATCATCTCTGCTCTGAATCATCTAAGTGTGGGAGGATACTTGCAATGAGAGAGAAGGAAACCGAGTAACAGTTCCTGTTTGCTTTAATTCAGGCAATACAAGTCCTTTATGGGCCAC